ATTTATCCCGAGGGAAATTCAATCAGACTACCAGATTGAGAGACATGAAAGCAAAAATGGCTTTTGTGTTCAAAATGGCATTATACAGGTTTCATTATCGAACAAACAATTCCTGAAGCTATTTAGTTTCAGAAGTCAGGGGTCAGGTAGGTCAAGATGTTGAAGCTTAACAGCTTAATTCCTCAACCTGCAGGCCATTTCAGATGCACCTCGCCCACTTTGAGTGAAACTGTGTAATACCTAAGCAATATACATATTCTAACAAATCTTTTTTTTTCACTTTATGAGATGATGCATAAACTGCCATTCCCATTATACAGGGTTTAGTTGAAATGATCCACTTCTGAAGCAAAGTATCTGGATGGATGACTGGATGATTTAGGGGGGCAGTTAAACATGATCTTGACTTAACTACATTTCTTGAACAGCATCCAGTTGACAACAGGAGGGCAGCAGTTGAGACAGCCTCTTCGCAGTGTTTATATGTTGTCTATGATTGAAAAACATGGCAAGAAATGTCACCTGTTTTCTAAGATGGGGAGACATTTGGAGAAATTAATGTTCCTGTCCTGATGCCTTTATGTTATGTCCAACATTTCTCAGTTTATACTGTATACCTTGGTCCTTTTTTAATTACCGCTCACATCTGATTGTCAGGCTTCACGGTTCCAGCTATTTTTCAGCTGTACTTTCATGTCAAACACTTGAGCACAAAGAAACATACAAATCCTGTTTTATAGAAGATGTTTTATACCACACAAGATGTATAAAATATGCTTTTTGACAAACTACTGACTAGTCAGGTATTCCCTGTAAAGAATAGGGATAAGCAGAAACCAACTAATTTTTGTGTCTGCATTCATAAAAAGAAAGAATACAATAACAAAGGAAGTAAGTTTATAAAAAAGTTTATTTTAGACACAAATATTATCTGTACAAAAACAGAGCAGAAGATGTATACAAAAGCATTTGCTAATTTCAACAGATGGACGTCTCCATCAATATCATGATAGTAGCAAATAAATGACAATAACAACAAAGCATTGGAACCCCTCATTGTTCCCTATGCAGATGAATTATCAGCTGATTCTGGTTCACTGACCATGTAGGACATTAGGAGATCATAGGCAAGCTACGCAGTAAGCATCTGCCTCCGTCCAATGTAAGCACAATTTAAAGACACAGACATGTTGGATATGAAGGAGCACTGGTCATACACAGACATATACATCTGAACACACTGACATCATCAGCATCACAGAGAGGATGCTAAATCTTCTGTCAGTATCCCCCTTCCTTAGAAGGGGCGGTTCAGAGGACAGGTGTCCGTAGTTCATGCAGCCCACTTCTTCTCCAACTTTGAAATAACATTTGGCTCTCAAACATACAGTGTGAGGTAATAAATTACACATTAAATAGAGGTTTAAATATGTTTCATTTGTGTGTCACAGCTGAGTGCATGATGTGTGTAACACTTTGGAGTGCAAAACATCTAGGTTTGGTGTTACACAAATGCTTGCTTCAGGATCAACACATCTACAGTCAATAATACCACAGAATAGACCGACACCATGTAGGCCTAAAGAGAGAAATAAGCTGCCCATTCGTCCACTATTCAAACGTTTCTCCGTTAATTTCAGCAGCAGCAGCAAAATAAGACATATTGAGAGAAGTCAGACCAACCAGTCTAATAAAGAAATCTGGGCTTTCAGTTTCTGTGGGCTCTGTGAGCTTACTGGCCCCATCCTCCGATTCCAATCTCCTGTTTGTAGCGCTTGGTGAGAGAGTCGGCCTGCAGTGTGAGCTTGGACAGCACCCCTTGCAGCCCGGTCAGGTGGTACTGGAACTGCGTCTTCAGATCCTCGTCCTCCTCCTCCTCGTCCTCCTCGGATGACAGCGATACGGAGGAGGAGGTGGATGCGGACGAGTTCATGCGGGTGATCTTCATGCTCTCTTTGCGCCTCTCGTCGGCCGCGGCGCACCTGACGCCCCACTCGATGTCCATGCGGATGGACTTGAGCAGCTGGTAGTAGCTGTACATGTCCCCCTCTTCCTCGACCGACTTCAGGGCGCTCATCTCCCTGTCCTCCTCCAGCGGGACGTCCCGCAGCAGGCTCGGCACCATGACGGTCTGGTCCATGTTATTGACGGCGCCGATGAAGCGGTCCATGGCGTTGAAGAGGGAGTTCTTCTGCTTGGGGGTTTCTAGGAGCTGCATCATCATCTTGGCGAGAGTTGTGAGAGAAATGGAAGCGAAGAGTCGAGTTGGTTGTCTGGTTTGTTTCTCCTCAGTGAGTGCCCTGCTTTAATTCCGGGCTGATCGGCTTAAAGGAGCGTCTGCTTGTCTGTAATGCAGCAGAGGGGATTGGCTGTCCTGGAAATCAAGCGAGCTCTGCCGGTGGTTGAGTTTCCCCTTTGATGGGTGTTAGTGTCCTTTTCTTGTGGTTCCTGGTCTGTGGGGAGACGGGTGCGCACTTATATACAGATGCCGGTTTCGAGCTTTAAAGGCGGTCCCACATTAAACCTGTTTGGCAAGTTCTTTCACTGCAGCTGTAACCGGACCCAATGACCTGAAATAGCACAGCAGAGATGTTCGGCTCAGTTTCTAGAAGAGGAGTGGCTTCATATTGACAGTTAGGGGCATATCCAACTTCACAGAACTTCTGCAGAAACACAAACAGGATTTCTTTAAGCTGAACACGCCAAACGCGTTACCGTGCGTATATACGCACAGCAGCTGAAGGTTCACTGGTCAACACTTTCTCATCCCAAACTTAACTTACCCAGAAATACTATGTCCAGAGTTTATGATTTCTCTTCCGGTAAGATGATATTACATCATCATTCACATTCTGTTCCGATGAGCCAGACAGGGAGACACAGGGTGAGGCTCAACCGAGCGGACCGGTTTCATGAATATTCATTGAGCAAGCCATCAGCCCACTGCTCGGATCTCCACTGAAACCAATCAGATGACCATGTTTCTCTCTGAGGCGGGACAAGTGGATGTTTGACCAATGACGAGGTCACTGCGTTGAATGGATCACGTCTCGACAACAGAGGCAACACGTGGTCGAGCAACCGAGTTTTTGAATCATTCTTTATTGAATTCATTCACTCTCAGCTTGTCACCTACAGTGGTGGGAGAAGTATTAGTAAAAGTACCAAAACATCAATGTAAAAACAGTCCATTACAAGTAAAAGGTCAGAAATCGCACTGAAGTTACAGTAGCTACTGAAGTATTATCAGCAAAACATAGCCTACTTAAAGAATCAAAAGTAAAAGTACTCATGCTGCAGACTAAATAGCCCCTGATATTATTTATGATATATATTATGATTATGTTATATAGCTAGAATATATTATTATATATATATGACATTATTTTCACACATTTTTAAGCAGCATTTTACTGGTGTAACTGGTTCAGGTGGAGCTAGTTTCCACCACAGGTTACTTTAGTTCAGTGGTTCACAACCTAGGGGTTAGGCCCCTTTCAAAGGGTCACAAAATAACTCAGGGGTCAAAAGAAGAAAAAACACAGCTCTGCTACACACGTTTGCAATGTTTCTCTAATCTTTGCTTTTTGTAATATACACAAGAGTTTATGGCTCAAGTTTTATCTGCAAATCCATATTGATCAAGGATATTGTCATCCTGATTTTCTGTATTTTAATTTCACTATGTTGTTTTATTTCTTACACACAGTATCTGCTGCAAGGCTGTCCTTCCTGGAACAGGGACCCCTCCTCTTTTGCTTTACCGAAGTTTGGTCAGAGTTTTTCCCTATCGGTATAGAATAGAGGATAGAGGGTCTTGTGTACTGTACAGATATTAAAGCGCTGTGAGGTACATTTGTGATATTGGCTAAATAAATTAATTGACTTGTCTTCAAAGTTATTTAAATGGAAACATCTGAGCAGTTTAGAGGGGAAATGTCTCTTTAGTGGAAAAGCCAAAACTGTCTTAATGCAGTTTTTTTGGGTTGAGAATGTTTAAATATAACAGTGTGTTGTATTTCACAAGATTGTCATATGTTTTACTCTGAAAAGTAACTATTCAATTGTAAAAAGTAGAGCAAAAGTATAGAATTTCACCCTTGAAATGTTGTGGAGTTAAAGTTAAAGCAGCGTAAAACTGAAATACTCAAGTACAAAAGTTGACGTAATATACTTCCTGTTGACCCACTACTAGTTATCTTCCACCCCTAAAAATGTGTTTTGTGTTATTCCTTCTATCATGTTGACTAATTGCATTGGTGCCACAGCAATGAGCATCCCCAAAAATTATATCCTTGTTGCAACTGTCCAATTATAACACAATTATAATGATAAAATAGAAAATGAAAATGTTCTTAAAGTGCAAGTTCACTCTTTACTGAGTGCCACATCCACACTAGCAGTCCCTGCAGAAACAGTACAGGCCTGGTTATTTCCCCTCAGGGTAACTTTAGTCTAAGCCAGTTATAGTACTGACAAGCTTTTTTAGATTACACTTAAAATCAAACTGTTGCACCAGCCAGTTTCCAGCAGTGCTTTCGGACAGCTGATTTCCCCCCCACACTCTTCTAACTGCTGGTAAACAGAGGGGGCTCCCACACAGAAATAGCCCACATTAGTACATCATACAGTACGTGCACTGGTGGAAGTGCTCAGCCTGAAATCTGAGCTTTGGAAAACACTTCTGGTCAGACTGAAACCATAACAACATGTTTTTCACTGTGTGACTATCAACAAAAAGAAATCCACCTGTCTAGTGTTCAATCACAACATGTCTGACAGATTCATAGTAACCGAAGTTCAAAATAGATCCACATAACATTAAGGGATAGGCTCATAGGAATGATATAACGGAGGGAGGGAACAGTAGACTGGTATAGACAGGAAGGCTGATTGATACTTCATGCCCATAAAGGGATGTTTCTGGGCACAGTTTGTTCTAGATACTAGTGAATGAATCATTGTTCAAAACTTTACTCAACAAGAATGGGGGGAATGTGAACATGGATGGATGAACCTGCTGGGTGAGTTTCTGTCCCATCCTACTTCCGTCTCATCTTGGTATGCATCTCTCTCCTGTTGGTACCAAAACTGTTTGTGTTGAAGGCAGTGGGAGAAGAATTATTCATGTATTTAGCCTACTTAAGTAAAATCAATACTTAAACACAACACACTTAACAATTGTGGGGCTCCCTGGTAGCTCACCTGGCCGAGCTGACGCCCCATGTACCAAGTCTGAGTCCTTGCTGCAATTACCATGGGTTTGAGTCCGACCTGAGGCCCTTTGCTGGCTGTCATCCCCTCTCTCTCCCCCCCTCTCATGTCACTCTCTAGCTGACCTAGCTAATAAAGGCAAAATTGATAATATAATAAAAATATTAAAAAAAATAATAATAATCATGGCAGTATTATGAGCAAAATATGCTTAAAAAATCCAAGTGTTTACTCCGGGTGCAGAATGGCCTGTCAATGTTATATGATTATTTATTATATTATTGGATTATTATAGCTAATTCATTAGCTTGTATGCAGAATTTTAATGCTTTAGCTGGTTGATATGAAGCTAATTTTGAGTTTTTTATTACAGTGTTTTTTAAAATAAAATAAAATTTTAATCTGAAACAACATATCTTATTATACATGTTTACATTTTTTAATCTTAATTTTGGAAAGTAACTGACAATTATCTGTCAAATGTAGTAAAGTAAAGAGATTATTTTACCACTGAAATTAAGTGGAGAGGAAGTATGAAGTAACCTCAAATTGAAAGTAAAGTACCTCAGAATTGCACCTATTACTACTATTACTCTATTACTACCAGTACTTAAATGTGGTTATAGTGGTGGAAGAAGAACTCACATTCTTTAAAGTAAAGTATCAAAAGTAGTTCTGTAATGCAGCCTTTTAATATTGCACCTATAGCTGGTTTTACTGTATGACTATTTGTGTACTGTTGGGTTTGTTTGATCTTAAACAATTCATCATATTATAATATATTCATAGGTTTTGTATCTAAAATCTTACTCTGCAAAGAAACTAGAAACTACAGCTGTCAAATAAAGATAGTGTTCACTTTGAAATGTTCGTGGTGAGTAAAGCATAAAACAGCACAAAATGAAAGTACCTCAGAGTTGTATTTGAATACAGTAGTTGAGTACATGTTATTATGTAATTTCCGCCACTGCCTGAAGCCTGTTTACTGTCCCACTCAACCCACATCCCCTCAATCCCAAATCTGCCTCGGAAGCAAAGCTACACAAACAAACCAGTTTAAAAAAAATAAAGCAGGTCAGCAGAGCAAATGCGCACCGCTGCTGAGCCGAGATCAGATAGGAACAGGAGCTGGTTTTGCCTTCTCAACAGGGCTGTCAATCAAGGCCCCACCTCACTGACTTCCTCTATTCTCCTGTGAGAGGCCCCTTCCACTTGTCAGAGGACGCGCTGTGCCTGAATGCAACAATGAAACCCGGATCAGTTCGGAAGGGTTTTCTCGATTGTGTGTCATGTCAGAAGCTGAGCATCCACCGATTACGGCGGGTGTCATCATCATCCCACAAGGCCTCAAGAAGAGCGAGAGAGAGAGTGAGAGAGTAGGAGGAGGAGGAAGAGTGGTGGCAGGGAGAGGAGGGAGAAAGGATGGCGGGTAGAGGGGGAATGCTGGCACTATAAGGAAAAGCAGGGCAGCTTGAGTGGGAAACTCATAGTACTTGTCATGCCACAAATGCATGTTATGCTGGAAAAGTGTGAGGCACGGGTGTACTCCAGTTCAGTGCAGGGAATGATGGGAGGCGAGCCAGCAGCGCATTAGAACAAACAAACAGCAAGCGGCAACAACCACATCCCCAAAACTATGACGTGGTGGAGTGGGACAGGCCTGCATAATTACTTTATAAGGTAGTAAATTGAGGTAGTCATTGGTGGATGACAAGAGAGATGTTTCTGTGTGTGTGTGTGTTGTGTGTGTGTGTGTCCTGAAAGAGAGAAAAGCTTAAGTGCTCCCCTCCCTGCAAAGTTGTTTGAAAATGAAAATTCATGAAAAACAAAGATCATATTAAAGAAAGCAGTGAAGAAATTACCTGTCATAGAAATTTTTAATAAGATTTCTAATCTGATCAAAATTGCCATTTGAAAACCACCATTTCTTTATGCCCTGAGCCTCATGAGCCACTTAATGTTATCAAGATTTGAGCTGGTAAATTCACTAAAACAAAATTATTCCTTCTGACAGGCTCAGCAGTCATTGTAGGCTACATCAGCAATAACTGTGCGTGGCACTCAAAGTTGGTACCCGAGTCCTTCTCCTAAAACAAGCTCTAGAACTTTCCCTTTAAACAGACAAAATTCAATCAACATGGGTTATTTTCTGGGAATAATTTGAACCCCAACCCTATGATTTTAAGATTGTAGATTTTCACTGAAAAATTGGTGGGTACTAGAAATTCACTGATTTTCAATACAACATCTACAATCTTGAACACTTTTAAAAGTATTAGGTTCACAATTTCCAAGTCCTGTTCTACCAACAATATAGTGCAGATTCCGCAATTTAGGTTTTGCCTTGCTGTGTAATCATTCCTCTCTTCATAAAATGGACCATTGAAAGGAAAACTTTTATACTGAAACCTAGCTGGCCATATGTTTTAAGACAGACTTGAAAACCTATCCTAAACTCTTGTAAGGGCCAGCAACTGAGGAAGGTGATATGCAGTGTGAAAACCTTGATCTGAAAATATTGCAGTGAGTCCCGGAGCCCTGACTGAAATCCCATTGTTATAATCAAGGATAAGTAAGATTTAGG